GGAAAAGTTAAAAATGATTTCAATTCTTACTTCTTTATCAGCAAATACCATTTCAATAGTGTCTTCGGTCTCTTTGCTATAATTCTTTCACAGACGACTAATTCTACCTTCAATATTCCATGTATCTGTTTGAACCATTGCCATTTGTTTTTTTTTTTTTTGAATTATCAACATAGCTTTAATGTTTGTAGTGTAAGCCCCTGACCAACTTTATATATTCTCCAACTTCCACGTTCGAGAGTTATTAGCATAATATATTTATATGCCTTATACTAAACTTCCAAAGATATGTACATTAAAATGGCGAAGGAGTTTGTGGGAATGCATTACTAAATTACTATAATGTGGTTCGCAATAATTGCATATATGAACTATCACAAGTAATTTAGAACAAAAAGAATATTAAAATTTAAGGAATTAACTAATTAGGAATATTTAGAAAAATTAAATACAAATAATATCACATTTGTATTCGAATATTTAATGTATAGTAGTAATATATACGAATTAAAATGTAAGAGTAAAATTGAATATCACCTAGATTAAAACTAATCATGAAACAGTTTAGAGAAAAATATTATAAATATATTGCTATAATTAGGTTTACAATAATTGCTAAGGACTAATAACAATTCATGAATTAACTAATAATGAACATGTTGAAAAATGTACGTTTAATGCAATATCATTTGTATAGACTTTTATACTATATAGTAGCAATAACGAATTAATGACAAAGTAATAAGGAATCTTACTTAGATTTGCATATATTTTTGTTATACGTAAACTATAATTTGATATTGGTTAATTAAATGTACGTTTAATTAATATTTCCTAAGGAAATCATATCATATAGTTTGACTTTTGTAGTTATACAGATTTTTCAACTGTATTTAAAATTAATTAAAAATAATTAATTATAATTCCAAAGCTTATCTAACCAGATTGATATACATATCTCGACCGTTAATCATTTTAAATAAATCGATATAACTTTATATCACAAATGTATATTAAAATTAAACCGATTTCAATTATAACCATTTAATTTAACCAGTATTCCATATCATTTTAATTAAACCGGTATAATTGAAACAAAGCTTATAGGTGTATTGCAAAANATATAACTTTATATCACAAATGTATATTAAAATTAAACCGATTTCAATTATAACCATTTAATTTAACCAGTATTCCATATCATTTTAATTAAACCGGTATAATTGAAACAAAGCTTATAGGTGTATTGCAAAACCAACATATATAATAGAAAATATAATATTTTTATAAAATTATTAGAAAATTTAAGTGAAGAAGGTTGCCTCTAAACCGGTTTGTGTGGTTTAATTGGTGCATCATGAGATAGTTGGTCTTCGTAAGATGGAGTGATGTCCACTTAACCATTATTAGGATCACCTTTACGAATATTAACTAAGATTCACCAATATATTTAATAGACTACACCAATATATATCTCCCCCAAAAATAAGTTTAAATAATTTAAAATAATAACTTCCTGAATATAATTATATGGAAAAAATAATCTACCATGATTTTCTTCAAATCTAAGAGGGTCTTATTAGATCAAAGATTTAAGAGGATTTCATTTTTTATATATTTTATATAAATCACATATTTAATTACCATAAATTATTTTATGAAATATATTTATGAAATATATTTATATCGTTAAGATACTGATAAAAATGGTTCTAGAAGTGATTTTCTTACTCATAAAATTGATTTTCTTACTCATAAAATAAATAAAATAGAAAATTTATTAACGAATCAAATTATAATAGTTTTTCTAAAACTTAAAGACACCTAAAAATATTAATTAAGTGAGTAAATATTAAAAGTAATAAATATTAAAAGTAATAAATAAAACATTATTAATCTTTCTATAATTTCGAGAATTAGTTTCCATAAATTGTTATTTGTAACATTCTTAAGATTATATGGCAAGTGATGTTAAATGATTTTAGACTTACCTTAAATATTTAGATCTAAATTAAATAAATAAAAATTAAGAACAATCGACCAATCAAATTATAACAATTTCTTGAAACTTCACCTATGAGCGACACGCCACCAGAAATCACTAAAGTGACTTCTCATTTAATATATAGGAGGATTTGAAGAGTCCCTTCATGCACGTAATAAAAAATCACTCATGTTATTTCTCAATCAATATATAGTAGGTTTTATCTTTTATAAATAATTTATAACATTTTATAACTTATTTTAAAATTCAGATAAATTTATTCATTAAAAACGCTAAATAATTTTAAAATAATATTAATAAATATGCTTGGACTTTTTAATATTTAAAATAGTTATTATATAATTATATTCAAATACAATTCATCAGTTAGAGTATAAAACTATTATAATTATCTTATATAAAATGTCCTTCATTATATTTTATAGTTTATAAATATTAAAAGTAATAAATAAAACATTATTAATCTTTCTATAATTTCGAGAATTAGTTTCCATAAATTGTTATTTGTAATATTCTTTAGATTATATGGCAAGTGATGTTAAATGATTTTAGACTTACCTTAAATATTTAGATCTAAATTAAATAAATAAAAATTAAGAACAATNTAATAAATAAAACATTATTAATCTTTCTATAATTTCGAGAATTAGTTTCCATAAATTGTTATTTGTAATATTCTTTAGATTATATGGCAAGTGATGTTAAATGATTTTAGACTTACCTTAAATATTTAGATCTAAATTAAATAAATAAAAATTAAGAACAATCGACCAATCAAATTATAACAATTTCTTGAAACTTCACATATGAGCGACACGTCACCAGAAATCACTAGAGTGACTTCTCATTTAATATATAGGAGGATCTCAGTTCAAAAGAAAAAAAAAATCAAGAGATATAAAAATAACTTTTCTTTTTTATATATTTTTATACGTATAATATCCTATCATATTATGATTTGAAAACTATGATTTAATTGATTCATTTCACAATGATCCATTTTTTATACGTATAATACCCCCCGTTCCTTAAAGATACATATTCTAGAAAAAAAAATTTCTTTCTAAAAGATCTATTTTTACATTTTCAATGTAATTTTTATTAACTAATTGTAAACTTCAAAAAATTGATTTTTCATTGGTTTAAAATTGTGAAAAGAAGATAAATACAACAAATTATGCAAATTTATTGTGTTTTATTAAAAAGTGTGAAAAAACTAGAATATAGATCTTTTAGGAACAGAGGGAGTATGATTTAATTGATCCATTTCACAATGGTGACTCAATTATTTCACAATGATCACTCACCTGTTTCACAATGGTGACATGACATTAATTGTTAACCATCGCTAATTCATTTGTAATTAATGGTGACTACATCTAGTTATACTAATCAAACCTCTCTCAGTTATTATCCTCTAATCTCAATATTTTTCTCTAACTATTGAATTCTTTCAAATCATAATTTTTTAAATTTATTATATATGGTTGGTTACACAAAACTACATAATATGTGAATCTGTCGTGAAACATTTATGTTTATGTTAAATTTACACTGGTTTATGTTCTTAGACAGTATATATTTTATGTTATTTAAGATTTATGATTTAGAGTTTAGGGTATCTTGTTTCATATAATTAGATTTTAATATGATGTTCTCGCGTGGCCTTCTCTAGCGATTTCTGGATATTATTTTCTTTATTTTTGTTTTAAATTTTGATGTTCTTTGTTTTCTGCTTAGGAGGCTTGACTTTCGTGTAACCACTTTTGTATGCCAGTAGGACCTCGTATAGTTGTTTACAATTGCGCGTGTCATGGCCTTTGAGCTGATGGTACTTGCAAAACTTGGTGAGGTTAATCTGTTTGGTGGGATTGGCAGAGTCCTCTGCTTCTAGTCGGGATCTTTGTTCCAATGGTTTCATCTCTTTGCTCTGATGACAACCGCCGAATTGAGCAACTCATACTCGCTCAAAGTTGTGTTATTCTTGCTGAGGATTGTCTGAGTATCTTCTTTCATACGGACAAAGTTGTTAGACCAAACAATAACACATAGAGAGAAGACGTCGGGTTTTGGGACAAATCATCGCGAAACTTCAAATAGACCAAGAGAGTAATCTTTAGAACATCGACTGCGATATAGTCGGGAATGTTCATTGTGGAGATGATCGTCCGGGTCAGTCACGGTCATCCTTATATGTGGGGATCAGCTAGTTTAGGTCTTGCCTCATCGAGTTTAGTTGCTGAAGCTAAAGCTTTACTTGTGGCATGACATAATGTTTGGATATCTGGATATCGACATATCATCTTTGAAGAGGATTTAAAATATTGGTAAACTCGAGTAATTAATTGTTTTACTCAGGATTTCACCATTAAAAACATCACTGCAGATATATCAAGCTGGCGGGCCTTGTTACCTACAACAACATTTACATTTGTCCAGCTTATATGGAATCAAACTGCTCATAGATTGGCTCGACATAGTCCTCTTAATTCTATTTTTGAAAATGGTAAAGTTTATCCACCATATTGGTTATCACCAACTCTTTATTCAGATTTTATGCTATCATCTTATTATTAAAATTTGTCAAAAAAGTAACCTTATCTTCGTACATAAATTATCAACTTTCTCATCTGTTTTCCTTTTTTCTAAAAGTTTTCTTTCAAATGTTCGTACATATCGTAAGCAGGCGTCGATTTTCCACACGAGATTTCTGACTCTTTTAAAATTATTTCTTCATTTACATTTTTTGGAACACTTCATTTACATTTTATTTTCTATTCTTATCACCAAAAACTGTTACACTCAATGAACAAACGTATTTGTTTATCATGACATTAGATGCAATTAACCAGATCTTATTACTCAGAATAAAAACAATTTTACTCGTTCGATGAGCATCTCATTTGCAAAATGGTCACAGATCAGTCTGAATAATATTAGTGATGAACAGAGCTACTTGGAGAGGACAAGTCCAAACTGTGAGAGGACGGAAAAGTGGACAAGAATGTCATATTGTTTTAGATAAAGCTTAGGAAGAACAATCTACTCATATGAAAACTGAAGGTAATTTCCACGGAATTGGACAAATAAATAAGCAACAAAACATTTTCTTTAATAACCAAGGGACAAAGGTCGAAACATAGATTGATGGGATTCAACCTTTTACATTATTCGGATTCAACCTTTACACAAAAACAATACAAAAGTATAACAGAAGAAATTGTACCTGAAGTCTATTATGTTTTCTATCATCCATCCATATCTGTGACTAAGCTTTTGTGTGCCCAAGTTCAACATCTCTCTGTGACTGTGTAGTTTCTTCTCCTACACCGTCCTTCAAAAATTTAAACTCTTCTTCTGTAAAGCTGTGTTTCACAGCCTTTGCTGCCAGAAGGTTCGCCTGTTTCTCCAATTCCATGGCCCAACTGTAGATCACCATCCCAACAATCGCAACAATCATCCCCGACACGTTTTTAAAAGTCATTGCAGAATCAAATAGTAGCCATCCCAGTGTGAGGATGCACACTGTTTTCATGTGACCTATAACCTGGAACGATACTGCTGAAAATCGCCCGATGCAAAGGTACTGGCTTATGTTGCAGAATACAGCCAAGCCACATGAGAGAATGATGAAAAGCTGAAAAAGGTATAGATTAATTAATTAGACCAAGAAAAAGGATAAACAAAGGATAATTATTTTGATATGATGCTTACAAAGCAACCAGAAGACATAGGGTAGTTGATAATGAACTTGCCACTGAGGAGATAATCAACAAAAGGGCCAACAAGGAGAAGCGAAAGAGCTTGAATGGGAGCAGTTTTACTCAGCAGCTCAAAAGAGCCAATAGAGTACTTCTTCTGCAAGGAACCAATCAAAATCTGTTGCAAAGAGGAAGAGAAAATGGCAACGCAAGCGCAAACGAAACCTTTGGCGTTAACTTTGACATCAGTGACAGTGCAAATCGCAACACCTACAACAACAACCACGACCGATAGTTTCACTAGTTTTGAGTAACGTTTGTTGTGGAGGATCCATTCCATGACACAGACGACAGGGATCATGCTCAGCTTCGAGATCTGGTAAAAACCCACCGAGTTGAGCATGAGGCTGAAATTCATGGCGGCTATTGAGACATTAGCGACGAGGGAGAACCAGATTAGCTCCCACATGGGGACATGTTTCGATGCGGACAGTCCCGTCGCGTTCGAGACGAAACCGACCAATGCGGTTAGAGCGAAATGGAATCCGGTAAGAGTCGTTGCTGGGAGAGGGAGTAATTATCATCAGATCTCAAAATGATAATTAATTAGAGAAAGAAAAAGAGACGAACCGAAACTAAAGGCGAAACCAGAAGAAGACATAAGCTGTTTATTGGCCATGATGATCCCGACCGAGCTGATCACATTCATTGCCCAAGCTCCCATGTCGGAGACCGCTGAAGATTTGCGCTCCTTCTCGGCCGCCATGTCTATGATTCAGATCCGGATGACTGATCACGACTTTACCCCACCCACACAGATACAGCTTTGGTTCACGCTTTATAGGACGCTCAACCTCTTTCTTCTTTCTACGATTCCTTCTATTCCCCCATCAAATAAATTAATCGTAGGCTTTGTATTTACATTAACTAGTTTTTTTTTTGTTGCTAAATAAGTGGAGATCATTTGTGTGTCTATATATTTTTGTATTTATACAAAGTTTTTTATTGAACTACTCTATTAGAATAAAGTCAGTTTATGGACTGTCTTTTAGACTGTAAGAAATTATATTAGTCTAACTAAATAAGATCTCGTTAATTATTATCATACAAATTTTTTAATCTAACCGATATTTTTTACTATTAACAAACCTACTCATGATATCAATTATTATGTGTTAATCAAATCAAATATATGCTCTAATCGAAATTATTTTACCACGGGTTTTCATTACATTGATTTTAAATAGAAAATGATGATAAAACATACAAAATAAGTTAATTGTGACATACACATTTACATTTAATGTTAGTTTATATTTTTGATAAACATTTATAATACGATAATAACTATAAATCAACACGAATATAATAATAAATTAATATAATAGTAAAAATAAAAAAATAAAATTTACGATTTTTTGAGTATTGTTTAATTCTATGTTTGATAATTATATATCTTTTTATTAGTAAAACAATTCTTCAAAATTTATGCAGTTTTAGAAAATTATAATTTTCTAATCTTAATACCATTACTTTTTTTTTGATATTTACAATTTTTAAATATTATTTAGTTTTATGTATACCTAACAATTTTTTTTTCAAATTTTGAAGAATTTGATTTAATATATTTTAACCAAAATAAATAGATAAATAATCTTTCCAAAATTATAATTTTAAATATATACATACATATTATTAATATAATTTAAATAAAAATATTTCTTTTATTTTAATTTTTATATATCATTAAATTCAACTTTAAAATTAACTGTAAGCAAATAATAAAATCTAAAATTTTATGTTCGATACACTGTGTAGCAAATAATCTACATAAGTTTGTAGGATTCGATCATTTAAACTTGCTACTTCATTTGTTTTCTATCGAATGTTTTCTGGAAAGTAATTATAATACTCCAATTCAATAAAATCTCATCAATTATTACCATACAATGTTCTTTAATCGTACCAATGTTAATTACTATTACCACTAGATGTATAGTCCCCGCGCTTGCGCGGGGGTTGGATACGTTGTTGATGTGTTGTGTAGTTTTGTGTATGAGACTTTGTTTTTTTTTTTTTAACATTTGTCTATCTGGATTATCTATAATGCTGATGAATGAAACATTAGAAGTCACACAACTTGATTAGTCTGATAAAAGAATAAACATTGAATTCATATGGGTTGATATTTTCATATTTTATCTTCGTAGTGATTTTATCGAGCATTCCCTTTATTAGTGATTTTATCGAGCATTACTGTTATTAGGGCTTTCATGTAAAAAAATAATTTAATGGAGACATGTGTTTATTAGTGTAATTTTCTTTGTGAAATTATGTTGTATATATATATATATTTTAATTGTGATGTATATGAGATTTATGGTTGATCTGAATGGTTCGGGGTAAATATTTATTATTGAAAAAATATGTTTTTATTTTATTTGAGGATTATAACTGAATTGAAATGATATTGAATGTTAGAATATGATAACCTTTTTTTATAAAAGTATCTAAGATGGTCTCATAAAGTTTCAAATCTTTAAGCCATTCTGTATCCCAACAACCAGCATAAAAAATCATTTTGAATCTCCCTAAGCTTTTACGTATCCCGAAAAGCCCAATTAAAAAAAAAAATTAAAATGATATGTTTTTATTTTATTTGATGATTATAACTGAATTGAAATGATATTGGAGGTTAGAACATGATAACCTTTCTTATAAAAGTATCTAAAATGGTCTCATAAAGTTTCAAATCTTTAAGCCATTTTGTATCCCAACAACCAGCATAAAATATCATTATCATTCTCCCTAAGCTTTTAGGTATCCCAAAAAGCCCAAATTAAAAAAAAAAAATTACATGCAAGCACTGCATTTTGAACCCACGCACTCGCGGTAATAACTTCTTGTCACCAACTTACACCACTGGGCCATTTCATCACTCATCGATAAATTCAATTTTACAAAATGTTATACGTTTTTGTCTTCCCTAATAACACGTGCAGGGCCCGTAAACTTGTTGACGTGGACACGCTGAGGAGCTTCAAAAGTGTACTATTATTATATAGATTAGGATTGGGAAAAAAACCGTAACCGAAAAACCGAACCAAAATATCTGAAACCGTAACCGAATCGAAATTCTTAAATATCTAAACGGTTTTTATATTTACATATCCGAAATAACTTAACCGAACCGAAACCTAACCGAGAATCGAATAGGTACCCGAATATATAATAATATTAATTTTATATACATATAACATAACCAAATATATGATTTTAATTTAAAAATGTATTAGAATTATCCATAAATATTTGAAGATAACTAAATAATTAGAAAGTATCCAAATTATCTGAAAGTATACGGATAATTTTATCCAAATATCCAAAGTAATCCGAAATATCTGAAATTTGTATCTAAATTGTTCTAATTATTTGATATTTTAGCCTAAATAACTGATAACTTACCCAAATTACCTGAATTCGAACCAGAACTAAATGAGAACCAAAAATTTTAGATATTTTCTTATTCCTAGTTTTACTATCCAAACCGAACCGAATTCAAAACTATCCGAACCAAACCAAACCGAAAATATGCCAAATAGTAAATGGATTCTCTAACCCCCTATCCAAAAATCCAAAACCCGAAATACCCGAACCAAACTGAACCGATACCCGAAATGCCCATGCCTAAATTTGCCATACCCACTCGTGATATCAATTCATTGTTAATCGAATCATCTATATGCTCTGATCCTTCACTTACTACCTTATGTTACACAATGTGTAGGATCATTTAAACCGACTACTTCATTTACTTTCTTAAACTGTCTGGGTCATCTTAAACTTCTTCATTTTCATCGTATGTACATATGTTACCGAACTTCTATAGTGTTTACCAAAAAATATTTTCTAAAAAGTTATTTCGTATAAATGTATTGACTTCATATCATCACATCACTTATTTCCTCTGATTTCTGATCATGTGGGTTATTATCATACAATTCATAACTATCTTAAAGCTTCATGACAGTGTTGCAGATTTTGACATTTTGTCAAGATGATCTGGAATGTAAAGCCGAGGACATAGTGAGTCTTAAGTTAAAGTATCTATGTCACTCAATCTAGCTGCCTAGACATATTTTAGTTGAACAAAAAAAGAAAAAAGAAGAAGATATAATCTTGCATAAATCTATTTGCCGTGAGAGCTCTATTGATTCATGGACATCATTAACTACTTTGCTCAAATCTTCCAAACGGACCAAAAAATATTGTTCTGACCAGAAAACACATAATGAGATAAATGACTAAAATATGCTATTTTTACAAAAAAAAAGTTTAATTTCAATAATACTTTTTGACTTTTTCAAAATAAAATTCAATTTTTTTTCAAATTTTTTTTCAAATTTTTTTTCAGAAATAATTTTAAATTATTATATTAAATTTTCTTTCCTAAATCTTCAAATTAAAAGTCTAATTTCTAAATCTTTAACCCACTTTCTCTCAAAAAAATTTAAATCTTAATTTTAGATTAGTTAAACATAAGATTACAAATGTCTTTTTCCTATTTAAATGAAATATACTTTGGCTATTTTAATCGTGAAGTTATTTTGTTATTTTTTTTGGTTATTTTACAATGTTTCTCAACTACCTTTTTAAATAAATTTTATTATTGCTAAATAAAACTGCACATTTTTATATGAAACCATATATTTAAATTGCCATATATTTAAATTCAAATTCCCAACACTTTAGATTTTAGACCTAACAAAAATTCCCATCACTTTTTACTGTTTTCACGATGCATCATGTTTAAGGAAACACGTAACACTTAATTTATTTATTTTATAAAAGAAAAAACAACAAGAACGAAAATCTATATAATAATGATTCACTTTTAAAGCTCCTAAGGCTATCCACATCAGCAGCCAAATGGGCCCCACATATTTAAATTTTAAAAGTTTATAGTGTTTTTAAAATGACTATGAACAATGAATACACTTTAGCAAAGTGGTATAAGGCATCTAATTAAGTCTGCAAGTGTGTGGGTTCAAACCACGCAGCTGTTATGTATTTTAGTTTTTTTCGTTTGGATTATTATCATATGGGCTTTTTAGTTTTAATGTTTTAATGTTTTTTTTCTTTGGACTTATTGTTTAAACTCCAAAATAGTGGAAAAATCCTAAAGTTTGACGAACTCAAACCCAAAAATTAATGGATCAGAAAACAAACATAAAAAAAAAATAAAAAAAAATGCGTCTCACGGGGCACTATCATGTCTTAATATATATTTTTACTGTTTGAACATATTTCCTAATATATATTTTCAAAAAATTATGTATGTGAAATAAAATAAAATAAATAGTTTTGTTATTTATAAAATAACTATGTAAATTCTATATAATAATGATTCACTTTTAAAGCTCCTAAGGCTATCCACATCAGCAGCCAAATGGGCCCCACATATTTAAATTTTAAAAGCTTATAGTGTTTTTAAAATGACTATGAACAATGAATACACTTTAGCAAAGTGGTATAAGGCATCTAATTAAGTCTGCAAGTGTGTGGGTTCAAACCACGCAGCTGTTATGTATTTTAGTTTTTTCGTTTGGATTATTATCATATGGACTTTTTAGTTTTAATGTTTTAATGTTTTTTTCCTTTGGACTTATTGTTTAAACCCCAAAATAGTGGAAAAATCCTAAAGTTTGACGAACTCAAACCCAAAAATTAATGGATCAGAAAACAAACATCAAAAAAAAGAAAAAAAAAATGCGTCTCACGGGGCACTATCATGTCTTAATATATATTTTTACTGTTTGAACATATTTCCTAATATATATTTTCAAAAAATTATGTATGTGAAATAAAATAAAATAAATAGTTTTGTTATTTATAAAATAACTATGTAAATTCTCTTCAATTTTTAATAGTTATTATAGTTTCATTTTTATCAGACTCCGGCGGATGGATTTTCACAGTCGCTGACGCCGTAAAGAAAAATACCACATTATTCATGAACAAAATCCATACTTACAAAAAAACATATCCAAACCTATCTATTGAAACCCAAACAACAAATATTAGCTTAAATTAAAGTTATTTTCAAATTGATAAATCGTTTAGTACAAATATAAATACTATAAATAAATATTTATATCAAGTTTTGACATCCGATATAAAAATTATTTCCAACATAAAAAAACAATATAGACATCTATTTTTATACACTAAAAACTATATTATAATTTAGTTATTCCTATAACTTATTTTGCATATAAATAACATTTAACACATTATATATACAATATTTTCACTTTGCACTCTTGCTACATTCTTTCCATTTCATCATTATTTGGTATTATTAGAATAACCCAATAAACCAACAACCGAAAAAACACAGATCCCGGGCCCGCGCTTGCGCGGGGGTTATGCAGCTAGTGATATACAAATAGTAGATCTCTTTTTTTTTCTTGAAAAAAGAATAGTAGTGCTTGTTGACCGGCAACTTATTAGGCAGATTGGGAGGGCGAGGGAGCCACATTTCCTTGCTGCCGTTAATTTTGCATTACGCAAAGTCAAAGTCAATTTTTTTTGTTTAAGCAGCCAATAAGTCATAATTCTGGATTTGTCTTATCTCCCAGAGGAGAACCTTATGTAGTTTTTGGGCATCTAGTTTAGATAATATTCTTATTCAAGAAATTTGATATTACGTAGTCACCGTACTCGTTATATTAGGGACTCTGAACAGAGCACAAAATTTGTGTGTTCGAACTTAACAGCCTTAATATTTTAAACTTAGGCATTTTAAACAAAAAATAGTATGAGATCATATTCGGATATAACTCCAAGCTTATGAGTTGAAAGAGTGAAATTTAATTACAATAAAGAAAACATAAAACTATACCAAACATTTAAAAAAAAAAAAAACCCAAACAAGATTAATACTACAAATGTATTTTGGATTTCATGAATAATGAATTTCGATCTAGAGTCTCTTAGTTATCATTTAAAAAAAAATTAAATTAAATTATTAGTTAGAAACACTCAAATTTCTTTACAAACGGAAAACACAGTTACACACTCATTGCAAATTTTCACAACTTGAAATTTTAAACATACGTACTCAACCCATATATATAATCAAGTCGTTTAATATATAAATTATACACCAAAGTCTTAGTTTTCTATTGAAATACAAAACCATGTAAAGCATCAACAAGCATTTAGAGTCTAAGAGAATATTTAAGTGCGGAAGATCTGTACTTCGCCCGCTACACCATTCGAACCGTAGATCAAAAGAGATTTGGTTTCGAATTTTCAACGTATCCCTATCGAATTAAAGTCTACGTAACAGTTCTGTATTTGTACAGTTTCAATCTTTTACATAGACAGAGAATGTGAGGATTTGTATGTAACGAAAGACTTCCTCTGGAGATGTGTGGTCTGTGACGTTACATTCTGACCTTAGCTTGTGAGATATATAACGACAGAAGCTTGATATAATAACCTAAGCACTATGTTTTTTATGAGGTCCTTAACGTCTGCTTCATGTATCTTAGAGCAGAACGTAACATGGATCTAGCTTTCCTATCTGGTTTGCAGCCTGACATGATCATCTCCTCGTAAACACCCGGTACCTGTTAAAAATGTCAGTGCTCCTACTTTCAGTGTAATTCCTTATAGCAACCATAAGAAAAGATTCATTACCTTTTGGAACTTATCAACACGAATGAGAGCTTTCATGAGCGTTGTGTATGTCACCACGTCTGGATTTACGCCCTGCAATTGTTGTGAGAGATGGTTCCGGTCAGTTAAGTAGTTTTGGTTTTAGGGTAAAGAAGAAGTTGATTACGTTTTCTTTCATGTACTGCAAAACGGCAAAGGCTTCAGCGTCTCTTCTATCCTCTCCAAAGGCATTGATAAGGGAATTGAGAGCCAATAAACTTGGTTTCAGTCCATCTGATGTCATCACTCTAAACGCATTAACAGCTTGCTCCGATAAACCCTGTCAAAGAAAACTTATCAGTCGATGATTCTTTTAAAGATTCTTTTCCAAGGATACTCTATTAAGAGGCACGATACCCTCTGTGCATAGGCATTGATGAGGGCATTGTACATTGTGGATGATGGTTTCAGCCCAACTGACTTCATCTCCTCCAAGCAATCTATTGCATCGTTAAACCTACCGGATTTGCCATAAACGTCGACAAGTGTTGTGTGTGTCACAACGTTAGGAAGTACTCCTTGGCTCTTCATCTTCCCCAACAATCTTTTCATATCATCCCATCTTTCTTGATCTCCATAACTGTTGATCATGATGTTATAAGTTGTAGCGCAAGGCAAACACCCTCGCTTCTCCATTGTCTCAAACATCTCTTGTGCTACAATGTGCCTGCCGTGCTTGCAATGACAGTCAATAAGCGTATTCCAAGTCACCCTATCGGGTTCGATCCCCTCGCTTAACATTCTATCAAAAGTGGTCATTGCATGATCAAGACAATTAAACTTCCCAAAGGTATCGATCACCACGTTGTAGAACTGTCTATCGGGCTTAACTCCAATGCTCTTCATCTCCTTGAGAACTTGGAATGTCTTTTGCCACTCGCCTCTATCGCGATAACCGGCCAAGAGTCTACTGAAAACAAAAGAGTTAGGCTGCACATCACCCGCTTCCATCTCTTTCAACACGATCCTCGCGCTCTCCCATCTCCCTGCATTCACATATGCATCGATGAGGAGACTGTAGGTATGTTCATCAGGCGAAACACCGCTCTTCTCCATCTCCGAAACCATCCACTCCGCATCTCTTAGTGGTCGCCCGGTCTTCACATACCCTCTAAGCAACGCATTGTAAGCCTTGGTTCTCGGTTTCAAACCGCTCATTCTCAGCTCCTCAAACAAAGCTTCAGCCTCCAAAATCCTCCCAGAATTCGCCAACGCGGAAATAATCGACACAAGAGTCGCAGTCTTGGGGCTCAAACCCGTAGATTGAGCCATTCCAAGAAGCTGCAAAGCCCTAGAAGGATCACCAGACTTAGCAAACCCCATGATGAGATCATTAACTAACTGCACATCAAGCTCAAGCTTGTCACGTTCAATTTCTCTGTACAATCTTTGTAGAAGAGCCGAATCAATCTTATTACTACGTGTCAAAGCCTGGATAACCAAACTATAGTTAACGAAATCTGACTGGTAACCATCTTGACGCATCCTGGAAATGAGATTAAGAGCTTTGTCAATGTCATTGTTCCGAGCACAAGCTCCGATTAAGGCATTGTAAGTCAGAGGAGTTAACGTTTGCTTCTGAGATAGAAGAAACGCCTCGTAAAGCTTCTCGGAACGTCCCAGCGCGTGGATGAGAATCGAGTAGAGAAGCTCATAAGAGAAGCAGAGATTATGTTTTTGCAGCCACGAAACGACGGCGTATGCTAAACCGAGAGATGACGTGGATGAGCATAACGATTTTATTAGCGAGTGCCAGTACGGTGCCGGAACCGCCTTGTATGACTCGGCGAGCTCGAATTCTAACGGATCAAGTGAAGCGGGAGATGGTGGTTCGGGATTGTCCGAATCCAAAACCAATTCGACTGGGCCGAATCTGGAGAGGAATTTTAGAAGCGGGGAGAAGTCGTAGCGACGACGAACGACGGTGGAGAATTCATCGTCGTCTTCTTCGAAACCGTTGCAGGAGGAGAAGTAAGGAGATGATGGGGAAGAGGAAGAAGCGGTTGCGGAGAAGGCGGAAATGGGCGGTTGGAAGAAACGGTGGTGGGGGCGAGTGATGAAATAGAGGGAGTGGAAACGAGATGAAACCAGTGGAGGTTGCAAGAGAAGCATAATCTTCTCTTCTCTTCTCCAAGGGCGAGTGGAGAGGATTTTTGATTCTATCGTCGAGAGGTGTTTTTGTTTGTGGTTGCTAGCTAGTGTTAGTTAGAGTTTATTTACTTTGGTTTATTCCGAAATGTTACCACATCATACATTATTTTAATTTTGTTGTCCTAATAATTACTTAGACTTAGTTATAGGATTAGAATTTAGATTAATGTTAATACTACGAAATTACCTTTATAAGAATTGAATTAGTAATCAATTAATTTATAAAAAAATATTTTCATTTTAACATTACAAAGAGATTTTGGCTGCAAACTCACCCATATCCTCTTATTTATTGTTTTTATTTTATTTTATTTTTGTGTGTGTGTCATCTGTTAGATTAATAAACTTTAAACGTTTGATACAATCATAACATAACATCACCGACTAGCAAGAAACTGACGTTAGAGCATTTCCAACGCGGGCTCATAAAGCAGTCCTTAACACCAGTCCAATTATATTAAAAAAATAAAATAATTTTCGGCTTTGTTAAGAAAGGGTCCGTAGTTATGGGTTCCAAGGACCCAATCCTTACTGAGCTGGCACGTTTTTTCGGGGGTATGGGGTTTTGGAAAAAAAAACACGCGCATTCGATTCTCGAAAAAGAAAAAAAAAAGGGAGAACTATACGAAAGGCGATACGAGAGGCAACTTTGGGGATCGACGGTGGGAAGGTAAATCGGAGAGTTTTGGTTCATTTCTTTTGCATCAAGACATATCCAGCTCATTTGTTTCGACGCCGTTTCCGCATGAACAAGGAATTATTCATGCGAATTGTGGATCGCCTATCTGAAATTGTTCGATTCTTTCAACAGAGAAGAGATGCTCTTGGCAGGTTAGGTCTATCTCCAATACAAAAATGTACGGCAGCTATTCGTATGCTTGCTTATGGTTGTGCAGCTGACGCCGTTGACGAATATCTTCGACTCGGCGAAAGCACTGCACTATCGTGTTCAAGCCACTTCACAGAAGCCGTGATACAATTATTTGGGGATGAATATCAATGAAGGCTCTATCTCTTATCCCATCTCCTCCGGGACGGTTCCCAGGTACATCACTATACGCCAATCTCGATTACCTTCTCCTACGTATAAAGGATAGAGGGACGAGTGCTGCAGCAGTGTCTTCAATACCATGGATCTTATGGTACATATGGAAAGCAAGGAATGAGAAGGTCTTCAACAATAAAGACATCACGCCGCTGGACACTCTACAACTAGCGACAAAAGAAGCTGAGGGTTGGACTCTAGCCCAACGAATTGTTGACGTGGAAGAGAGCTCACAAGAGGAGCAGCAGAGACGCACACAACCCCTGCCACAGAACAATAACCCGGTGCATTGGAGCTTCCAGACAGACACATCCTGGGTAAGTGATAGTGAAAGAACAGGTTTGGGGTTTGTGATACTGAACGCAGGTTCTCCAACATGCTTTGGGGCGAAGGGAATCACCACTGCAGGTTCTCCTCTTCATGCTGAGGCGGAGGCTTTAATTTGGGGAATGCAAGAGGTCATCAAAACGGGGAACATAGTGATGCGCTTTGAATTGAATTGTGAACAACTAGTTAAGCTGATAAACACATACGAAGATTGGCCATCAATGGCAGCGGAACTTGATGAAATAAAAGCTTTATCCATGGAATTCCTGGACATCTCCATAATC